CCATATTGGTCAGACTGGTCTCAAATTCCTGGCCTCAAGTGATCCACCCACCTTGGCCTCCCAAAGTGGTGGAATTACAGGTGTGAGCCACTGTACCCGTCCGCCCCTGGGCTCTTATAACAAATTATACTTCCATCCTACTTAAGGAATATACTAAAAGCATAGTCCTAGGTTAGACTATCCATTTTTGCCAAAGTTTAAGGCTGAAGTTTAACTTCAGGATACTTTCTGAGTGAGCTAAATGTTACTTTTGTTCCTTATGTAGAAAAACCTGGAAATTGAACTCCTGAAACTAGAAAAAGATACAGCAGATGTTGTTCATCCTTTCTTTTTGGGTAAGTGGTCTGGTTAGGTGGATAATCACTGGAATTACAACTTTTTCTTGTATTACTGTAAATAAGCACCAGTCAAATTATGATACACCATCATTCTTCCAGGTGTAGTCCCAAAGCTAAAGCTAAAGTCTTCTATTTCTGTGCTGAAATAGAAGTTCTGTTGACTTGAGTAGTCCAAATAGCATAAAGAGTGACCAAACTGGCTTCTCAAAGTCAGGAGAACTTGAAAGACAAAGTCTGAGGAACTTTTCAGATTAAAGGAGACTAAAGGGGCATGACAGCTAAAGCAATGTATGATCATGGATTCAATTTTTTTTTTTAATGTGTTGGGGTCTTCTTACATTGCCTAGGATGGTCTTGAATGGCTCAAGCAATCCTCCCAACTCAGCCTCCCAAGTAGCTGGGATCACAGGTGCATACCACCACAGCTGGCAATGTATTGAATATTTGATGAGAAAATTTTCTTGTATCCAGGCGTGGAGATTCATGCCTGCAAACCCTGGACTTTGGGAGGCCAAGGTGGGTGGATTACTTGAGCTTGGGAGTTCAAGACCAGTCTGGGCAACATGGTGAAAACCCATCTCTACAAAAAAGTACAAAAATTAACCAGGCATTGTAGCCTGTGCCTATAGTACCAGTTACATGAAAGGCTGAGGCAGGAGGATTGCCTGAGCCTGGGAGGCAGAGGCTGCAGTGAGCTGTGATTGTAGCACAGCACTCCAGCCTGGGTGACAGAGTGAGACCCTGTCTGAAAAAAAATAAAGAATTTTTTTTTTTTTTGCCGTAAAGGACATTATTGGGATACTTAGTGATTTTTAAATATGGGCTGTATTAAATGTTGGTAGTATTGTATCAATGTTAAATTTTTTGAATTTGATAATGTGTTGTAGTTACATTGCAGAATGTTCCTGTTCTTGGGAAATACATGCAAACATTTTACAGGTAAAAAATATCATCCTGTATGCAGCTTACTCTCAAATGGGTCAGCAAAAATTGAGAGAAAGAGAAAGAGTGTGTGTGTGTGTATGTAGAGAGAGAAAGATAAAAATAAAATGTAGCCAAATGTTAACAGTCGGTGAATATAGGTAAAATGTATATGGGAGTTCACTGAGCTTTTTTTTGAAACTTTTCTGCAAATCTGAATTTTTTTTAAGTAAGAATTTTAAAGAAAGGTCAATTGGCAGCCATTAACTGAATGGGGAAAATAATGAGATAATCAGAAATAGCTTGTAAGATGACTTTTTTTTTTTTTTTTTTT